ATCCACCTTACATCTGGTCATCCTCTATTTCTTTCTGCCTTTCCCAGCATTATAATTTCTTCAGAGAAGTAGTTCTTCGATGATATTAAAACAATACGAATAGGGTAGAAATCTGCTTTCAGCAGGTTAGTTTGAAAGTTAAACGTTTCTTCAAAATTAAGTGAAGGGGGCAGGGAATCTCTGGGATGTCATGTTGTGGTTGTGGCCATGTTGTGGCCATCATGTTTGGGAATTGCAGAGGAACATATAGTGGACTGAGCTGGCACTTTGCTATTTCTGTAGAAAGTATGCATATAAGATGGATTTTGTTTTGTTTTGTAAATTGTTGGAAGATGATTGAAAAAATGTTTCCTGCAAATTAAATAAGGCTTAGAAGCTTAATATTTGAAAAACTGATACACCTAGTGCCATTCAGCTATTTCCTGCAGGTTGGTTTAGCTCAGGGATCACCAAAGTTGGAAATTTTAAGACATATGTGAACTTCCACTAGCTGAGGAATTCTGGGAATTGAAGTCTACAAGTCTTAAAATTGCCAAGTTTGGAGACCCCTAGTTTATATATATCTATTTATATATATCTTTTAATTTGTTTTAATTTTGTATATTGTATCAATTGTTCTGTTTTTAATTGGCTGTAAGCCGCCCTGAGTCCACCAGGAGAAGGGCGGGATATAAATACAATAAACTTGAAACTTGAAACTTGAAACTTTAACTCACAGAGTGATTGTTGGAACCTCTCAATAGTATCATACGTATTATGGAATTGATTCTCAAGGAACCCCCCATCTTTCCCATTCCCAGCTGCCCCCCATCTTTTTTTAGGCAGCAGTGGAGAACATGTCAGCATTAATAGGATAACAAATATCCCAAAATTAGACTTCCAGATTTATATTGTTTTTTATTGAAATATTTTTACGATTGTTCTTAAAGATTGTTGATTTTATTGTTATGTCTAGCCACAATTTTATTCCTTTATTCCTTTGCTAACAGAAACATGTTCCTCCATGAAGATGAGATATATAAAAAATAAAATGCTAATCCTGTAAATCTGTCAAAAAAAATTGAATATGTCTTTGCTGTAGTACTACTACATTTAATTATCTTTTGATCCCTTCTCCAATTTGGTAATGAATTCCCTCCACACACAGGCTTGAACACTGCCATTTGGACAGATAACTAAAGCCTGATGAAATTACCTTTTCTGCTGTAAAAATGGGAACACATACATAATCTTTACTCAACCAATTGATCATTCCATGGGTGTATCTAGCTTAATACTAAATTCTTCTTTTTATATAAGAGCTGAAAAAGATGAAAACCAGAGCAGCTGCATTAGACTTGGATCATTAGTGACAATAGATAAGTAGTGCAAATTGTTCGTGGTTAAGCTCTTAGGTAACTTTATATCTTTTCCTAATCTCTACTATAAAATCTCATATCAATATTTGAAGTAAGAAGCTAACTTATAAAAAGGTTCAAAGTTTTGTTTAACGTAAGATATCATGCAGGGTTTTAGTTTTCCGAGGGGGAAATGGTCACTGAAAATTTCTTACCTGACAAAACTATCTAAATTTACTCTTAGGAAAGATGTCATAATTTCTAACTTAATTTTTTCTTCAGTTTTCCATTCCTTCAATTTTCATTTTAAAATGACAGTTACACTTGCTAATTATAGAACGGTGAGAGAAAATATGTTTTTCAGAAAGAAACCACATTTGATCATCTTTCTGATGGATATTATCCATTCCCAGCTGAGTGATCCGATGTCTCTTAAAGACAAAAAACATGATAGAGTCTGTTTTATGGCTTTCAAACAAAAAATAAAGACCCGTCTTATTTATATGTGAATAATATATTAATTCTGAGTTGTGAAAATTCAAACAGTTCTTAAGAATTTTGTGGGGGGAGGGGGATAACCTAGAATAGGGATGTCAAACTTGCAATGTCATGTGACGTGTTGCAACGTAGTGTGACTTTTTTTCCATTGCTGGCAATGGGGCAGGTGCGGTTTTGGCATGACGCATCCGGCCCACGGGCTGGCAGTTTGATACCCCTGATCTACAGAAATGATTTCCTGTATCCTAATTTGATGTCCTTGACTTTTCTACTAATCTCTTAGAACTTAAAATCTTCGGTAGGGTAGATGTAACAAAATTTCAGTTTTATCATCGGAGTCCTAATTTAACCTTATCTAGCTTAATTTAATCACATTTTATGGCTTAGATGTAGATGGAAAAGTTAGACCCTGATAAAGTAATTGAGTTTTGCTTTCTCATTGCCATTTAAAAATATCAGAAGAAATCACCCTTATTCCTATCTTGAAATATCAACTTTGTTATGGCGTGTGTGTGTGTGTGTGTGTGTGTGTGAGAGAGAGAGAGAGAGAGAGAGAGAGAGAGAGAGAGAGAGAGAGTTCTGATACATTTTAGATAGACAGACAGATAGATAGATTTAATTTCTGCAGTTACCTGAAGAAACTGTTATTCCCACTTGAATGAACTAAATTACTAAATAGTGAAGATTGTTCCCTTAATCTGAACTTCATACCATGGAGATAATTCATATTTAAATTAAGGTTCCCCTTATTTTCTAAAGGAGTCCTATTTGAATAAGCAAATCCTTTTAATGAAAGCATCCCTCAGAGCATAAAGGCTTGATAACATACTACATTGTTTAGGTGTGGTGAATTGAAAAACGATTCTATAAATTGAAAAAATGATTCTATACATATTCATCCTCTTGCCATTTATCTCTGGCAGACTGGATTCATCATCTCTTCTGTCTGAATAAGAAACAAAGAGCAGTGTTAATCATTGATTAAATGTAGTGTTTGGGGGATAGGATTTCAATATCCTCCTGTTCTCTTTAAAAATATGTAATGCTTGGTCTTCATCTTCATTAGAATAAATTCCTTTTGGGAGAAGCACAAGTACAGGACTATTTTGTGCCAGTTGAATACTGCTCTCATACATTATTGACAGAATTAAGTTGATCCTCCCTCAGATCTATCAGGCTCGGTTTTATCTTGCAAACACACCGGAGTATGGCTTATTGCTCTCAGCTAACAGTTGTGGACCAGTCTATTATGGGGTGAGGCTTTCATTATAGCTGAAATACAATTAATCTCGGTTGGCAGTGCTTATAGAGAAGAGATAATAAATGATTTCTATTTTTAATGTTCTCAGAGAATTGTTTTATGTCCCAGTTATTTTGGTGGGAGATGGAATTTGCAATAAAGTAAAGCTTTCCTATCTTTATCTGGCAAATAAGATAGCTTGCAATGGCAAAGAATGTTTTTTATTGCTGCAGCAGATGCAAGCAAGAGAATGTCAGGATTGCTATAAAAAAAGTTACACAATTTTGCAGCCTTCTGATAAGGCTGCTTCAGCCTCAGATTCTTTCGTTTTTTCCTCTGTTCTGGTTAAGACAAAAGCAGGAAGCAGGGGAGCTTCCATGACCTTGCCTTTCCCTTTCAGCCACTTAACTTCATTTGCAACATCAGAAGATGGTGAATCGCTGTTTATCTTGGGGCTCAAAGAAGTCAGGCTTATCTAGATAGGTGGTCTTCGTCCCAAACGCCGCCCTAAAAGTTAACTTTGACTGCATAGATCAGTGTTTCTCAACCTTGACAATTTTAAGGCATGTGGACTTCAACTCCCAGAATTCCACAGCCACCATTGCTGGCTGTGGAATTCTGGGAGTTGAAGTCCACATGCCTTAAAATTGTTAAGGTTGAGAAACACTGGCATAGATACATCCATGTTTTTCCTTGGCCACCATGTGGAAGCAATTTATCTTTACATTCGCTGTGATTTTTTTAAAAAAACAAGGCTGGGATTTGCTTGGGTTCTCCCATTCAAATTCCAACCCGGTCCATCTCTACTTAGTTTTCCTAGGAATCGGGAAAGACTGTTAGGTGCAGCCACCTGCTCTGATCCCAGGAGATTAGAAGAAAGAAGTCGGAATATCTATCTATCTATCTATCTATCTATCTATCTATCTATCTATCTATCTATCTATCTATCTATCTATCTATCTATCTATCTATCTATCTATCTATCTATCATCACAAGTCCCTAGAAAAGCAATGTTTTTGACATGTTTTTGCTTTTCCTTTACCCTAGAGCAGGGGTAGGCAACCTTGGCTCTTTTATGACTTTTATGAATTCTGGGAGTTGAAGTCCACGAGTCATAAAAGAGCCAAGGTTGCCTACCCCTGCCCTAGAGAATCAACCCTTGTTGCAGTAAATTATACCAAACCTTCAATGCCTAAGGCTATAGCTCCCATCATTCTCGACTGATAATTTAATGGCTGAAGAAAGTGTGAGGCCTCCCATCACTGGGAGCGAAGATTTCCCATTTCATTGATAGATACTAATTTGTACAGTGACCCAAGTCCCAGTCCCAGAAAAGGGATGAATATTCTCAGGACAGGGTGAATATATTTTTCTTCTTGACAAAATAATCAATAGGGAAGAATCAACCCTGAGATTCTCCGAATCCTGTGAAAATATTTTGATGGAAGTTGTGTGCTTTGATGCACAACCATAGCCATTGGATCCTAGTGCTTTTTTAACATGACTTCTTGTTCTTTATTGTTCTCTGAATGGATGGCTTTGGATTCTTAGAAAACTTGGCTTTTGTGAGACAACCTTTGTTGGGAGGACAAATGTTGTCTATTTCCCTCCCTCCACAACTTCAGACTTTGCACAAATGATATTCCGGATCATGGTTTATGTAACTGCTTGCACTGCAATATTTCACGAAGGCAGTTTTCAGTTTGAGTTGCATTATACATTTAATTTTTCCACATCATCCTCTCGCCCTATTGTTATAACCTTATGATTTATCAGTGATCTAATTGTATAAGTTACCGCCTCAGTTTATTTAATGACAGTTTTTTTAATGACAGTTTCCTTAAACTTTCCAAATAATCCTGTCTTCCTCTCATGTTTGGAAGTCCATTTTGATTTTCATTTATTTATAAACATTGTTTTTCAGATTTTGACTTGAACTCTTTCTGGCACTGGAACAAGTTTGCAGATTATGTGCAGTGCGTTCTGGCTTTCACTGGGGTAACAGGATGCGTTACATACCTTTCCCTTGACTCCAGTATCTTTGTTGAAACCCTGGGTTTCCTTGCTGTTTTCATTGAAGCCATGGTGGGTATCCCGCAGCTCTACCGTAATTATCAGAATAGGTCAACTGAAGGAATGAGGTAAGATTGTATGCATGTACCATAATTTCTGCATTCTTGAAATGTGGTTGTTTTCTTTGCATAAGGGACAGCCCCAGAATTTCTTCAATTAAAAACAGCAACATAAAAATACCATATATGCTTTTAAACCCCTCTGCTGCTAAGCAAACCGTCAAATTTGTAGCCTAGATACCCTGAAAATTGTGACGTGCAGATAAGCTGACCCTCAACATTTTCCTTTTTTAATTTTTTATAACTAAATTAGTCATGGGTGATGCACTTTTTGTGGTATTTTGGTTCAAAATTCAAGGGTCAGCTTAACCCTGGGTTGGTTTATTTGCAAGTATTTTTGGATACTTTAAAAGAGCATTACCACATACTTGCCCATCCATAGATAAAGCAATTCCAATTTCCAATTGCTATAATTTGGAACCTAAAATCCTTGCCTTATCCACAAGTATATATGGTATGTCCATAATTCTGCCTTAGCTCTAATACTGTGGGAATATTGATGGTAGAAAATTGTAAAAAGCTCCTTTTACAAAGCAAAAATTGCAAGACTGAAATTGGGAGGCAAGGAAGATTCAGAAAAATGTAATATTAGAACAGTGTGTGTGTGTGTGTGTGTTGGTGTAATTATATGTAGCTTATACAACCTTGAAAAAAATCCCCAAACTAGGAAATATACTGTCTTGTTTGTTCTACAAACTTGAATGTAATGATGCATCACAATCTCCTGAGCTTTTTTCCCCCCTTCATTTTTAAATAAGCATTGTTTGATTTATTGGCTTATACTCTAGGCTGGGGAATCCATATATAGTCTGATTGACACATTATAAAAATTATGACTTTGCGCTGCACATTTTGAAAAAAAAATAGAGGAAAGCCATTTCAGATTTCATGTGAATGCACTAATTCTCTGTTGTTCATTTAATTATGCCAAGTAGTTTCAGAGAGGGCTGTATTTATCCAAGTTCCAAAGCACCTCTGAATAACTTTCAAAGTATAGGTAGCCTTAATATGCTAACAAATATTATCATTAGGTTGGTTGAATACATTTTACCCTTGTTGTTGTTTGGTCGCTAAGTCGTATCATGACCCCATGGACCATAGCACTCCAGATTCTCCTCTACCTTTTTATGCCCTAGAATTCAGGAGTAGGCAACCTTGGCTCTTTTATGACTCGTGGACTTCAACTTCCAGAATTCCTGAGCCAGCCATGCTGGCTCAGGAATTCTGGGAGTTAAAGTCCACGAGTCATAAAAGAGCCAAGGTTGCCTACCCCTGACCTAGATTTAGCATATACAGATAGTCATTGACTTATGCCCGTAATGGAGCTTGCCTTTAATGAATTCACCATAGCTAGTGTTCTGTCTTTCCACAGAGTTACTTCTGCTCTTGGTGTCATAAAATGCTGGTAAATTCCATTTTCAAAGTCAAGTTGCAATTTAGTACAATCTCCTACTGAATGCACGCCCTGCTTGTTATGGCCATTGCCCTTGATATATGCTGGGTATGCATTGCTTTCTTACAACTGGTAGCTTCTAAAAAAAAGCCAAATTGACCTATGTCTCTATTTCAACTTTCTGACTTTTTTTTTTTGAGGCTGTAAGGTGTGTTACCCTTGTATGCACAGAAGTGCTGTATAATTGTCTGCTGCGAATAGAACTGGATTCACTTCTAAGAAGAATTTCATTGAAAGCGCTCTCTTTTTTTCAGGCTCTCATTTGGAACCATTTTTTTCCCTCCCATTTCGATTTTTCCAATCAGAGAAAAACTTTTGAAGTGATGCTCTGGGGCTCAGCTCTCTTCCTCCCTCATGGATGGAAGCCTGAGGCACTCTATGAATTTGGCAGAGCTCTTAGCTCTGAGTGAGCTGCACAATTTCTTTCTGAACGCTTGTTTTTAATCTACTTAGCATCTGGGAGCAGTAAAGTCTTTTACTGTCAGCCCTCAGTCTTACTGTATGGATGCCAGGTCTGCTTGCCCTCTGCAATCCTATCTTAATTACGCCTTTCATGAATTCCGTTCTTTGTTACCTTATGCTTTCTCTTTCTTAATGATATATTGGGAACTGAATTAATGCAATTTTTTTTCTCCAGATCTGCTGTTATTTAAAAGAAAGGTAGAGTTCTGCCTGTACTAGCTTGTTTTTTTTAAAATAGCAGTGCAATATAAGGATACAAAATTTCTATTCTAAATGGCATGCCTTCTAGAATTAAGAATGATATGTATACAGTGTATCAGTTGTAGAGCATTGTCGCATCAGCCTTTTTGTAGTGGAGAGTTCTATTTAAAATCTATTTATCTATATATAAATAAAAATGTAAATGTTCGTTTGTTCAAAATCTTAAATCTCCGAAAGTTCTTCACCGATTGCTTTGAAATTTTGACACAACGTTGCATTCGAATACGCGCGTGTTTTTATATACCTACTATTATATAGATGTCACACCTGTGACAGGTAAAAACATTTAACCTATCTGAGCCACAGCAACGTGTGGCCGGGTACATCTAGTTTAAAATAAATGTCATCAACCCTAGTAGGGTGGAGACAGTTTTCTTTAGCAATCCCATTAAATAGGTTTCATTGTTTACTTCAAAAATCTCTGGAGTTTATTTTATCTTCCTTTTCCCCATTAAGTTGAACCTTCATCTATTTCAAAGGAATGTGGAATTGACCTTGATGAAGTGATGGATGAGCCGTTAAGGGAGGAAAAACACCAGAGAAAGTTCTTTCGAGGAAGAGATCCAAAATAACCCTGCCTTGATTCTGCTTAGTTTAAGAGAGGGCAGAGGGAAATGCTAGCAATCTTTCACAATTCTCTTACTCATCCCTACAACAATAAAGTAGGGTTCCTTTAATCCTGGTGGTATCTGTTTCCTGACTTGGCTACCTTAAAGGGTTGACATCTGTGGACTACAACAGTTCTTACTTTTATCAGTTCGGGACAAAGCCGCAATGTATGTTGACGGTTGGGTTAGACCAGGGGTGTCAAACTCGCAACATCACGTGACATGTTGCGACGTATTGTGACTTTTTTTCCATTGTTGACAATGGGGTGGGTGCGGTTTCGCCATGATACATCCAGCCTGTATCACCCCTGGGTTAGACTGTTGGGACTTTCTCTCCACCTCACCTACCTTACAGGATTATTCTGTTAATAGCATTCTTAAAGAGTTTAGAAAAGAATACTCCCGAATGCTAGGGATTTGATAAAAGGATAACATAAGGAATTTTTTTGGAAAAAAAAATACAATTAGTGATTGACTATAGCAAGAATTTAAACCATAAGAGCTTGGTATTTTGCTGAGAATTTTCCACCATATGTTAATTCCCTTTTTCACAGCTGCCAGAGAATATATGACACTTATGATAGGAGCATACATTTGTGAAATGTGTTACAAATAGTAATGGCATGGCCGTTGTTTTTTGTGGTATAGATCAAAGAAGCTAGGTAGGTCAACTCAAATATAACATCTTTAAAATAATTCATACTTTTTTTTCTGAAGATATGTTAAGCAAAACAGGTTTTGCTATACACTGATAATAAACTGTGGCCATTGAACTCTTTGGCTACTAAATGCTCAATCTCTCAAAATGACACATTAGCAACATCAAAGAAATAATTACTTAAGTTCTTTCTGGTGAAGAGTCTAGTATGTCAGCCATCATTTCTTACTATAAAAGAACATTTAATTTAAATGAGAGTTAAATTTTGAATTAATGAGGCCTATAGCATCTGATTTGTAGAATCTGGAAATAAGTATGTCATTTCACACTTCTTTGATGTAACATTATTGCTGTTCAACCCTTTGGATTCAAAGGCAAAAAGTTTCTTTGGACTACCTTGGGGGAACACAGTAAATAAACACTGTACTCTTTTCCAAGATTGTGTAGCTGCTGTAGTTCTCATATTGTGACAGTCAGCATTTAAACTCCATTTCTCCCAAGGCTGAATGTCTCCTTTAACTTTACTTTACAGGAAACCCTACACCATTTCAGACAAATGGCTTTCCAGTCTCTTCTTAAAAAGCTCCAACACTGGAAGTTTTAAGAAGAGACTGGACAGCCATTTGTCCGAAATTGTGTAGGGTTTCCTACCCGAGCAGGGGGTTGGACTCGATGACCTCCAAGGTCCCTTCCAACTTTATTATTATTATTATTATTATTATTATTATTATTATTATTATTATTATTATTATTATTATTATTACTACTACTACTACTACTACTACTACTACTACTACTACTACTACTACTACTACTACTACTACTACTACTACTACTACTACTTCCCCCTTCCTGTGTTTTCTGTAATCAATATATGCTCATCAGCTTCCACAATTTTGACTATGTGCTTTGAACCAGCGTTTTGCCTTGTCTGCCATCAACCTTTTCATCACCTTCATGCTTATTCGGTAAATCCCATACTTTCAATATTGGCCTCTGTCATCTACCTGTCCTTATTTTATAGCCTCTCTACAGCTCCCTTGCCTACCACCTTGACCTGAATGGCTTTGGTCAGTATGGCTGCAACTATTTCTTTCTTCTGACTTTTTAATTAGGGTAACACCAGGTTGCCTCAAATGAGAACCTGGTGAGCCAAATCATTGTCAGCCCAGGAGCATTGTTTGACTACAGCACATAGGAAAGCATTTGGAATAAGAGTTCTTTTTTGAGCATTATAATGCCGCACCTCAAGCAATTATTTGTTGAGGCTATGGATAATTGGCTGTCGGTGTGGAATCCGGCAAATTTCTCTATAAAAGCAATTCCGATATGGGATTTGATTCAATGAATAAATCTAAGCTTTTGATGTAGGCATACAGAATAAACTTGATCCTTGCAAGGTGAGACAGCATATTAAAACTTCACATACTATCAGTAAACTGATTTACTTTTTTAAATATTTAAAAATAATGATTGAACAAGCACAGAAAGAAAATTAGCAATTTATAAGTGCAATGAGCCTCTGATTTAGACACTGCTTAAGGTGAGCCTTTATTTTTCCTATCAC